TATTTTGCTCTAGGCATTATGTCTGTGTTAGAAACAGATTACGTCAGTTTGGTGTACTATTAATACTATTAATCAAAATTCGCTGATTATGCATTATACCATAATGAGTGTGTACCAATTTTGTGAGTTTAGGGAAATTCCAATTTTGTAGCAATAAGAATTTAACTGGGCTTTTACACAGTGACTTTCATCAAATAATGTGAGGTCCAATGGTTAACGTGTCAGCCCAACATTGTGAATATTGCTAATTTGACTCAGTGATTGGCTGCCTGCTTGCTAGGCTTGCAGCATTCATGGTTGGAAATAAGGTGTTCAGTCGGAGAGAAGGTGAAGCTGTTGATTCTGTTCTTGTCCTCAGTACACATAACAAATAATAATATTCTTGTCACAATGAATAGCTTAATAAATAAATAAATATTGTCATTCAAAATGTACTTAAAGTTATCAAATCAAAAACAAATTACAGAGTTCACATGAGTTGATAGGATGCTTTACCAAAGCTACACTTTTAAATAGATTTCACTTCATAGTATAGAATAATCAATTATTCGATTCTGAATTCTTTGTCATTCCTGTTATTTCTAAAAAAAATATTGGTTAAAAGTAATGTCCATGTAATTCATAGAATAGGTATCTGACTCACCTAACACTATGTCATGCTAGGGGTTATCAGTGTTAATGTAGGAGAGCGAAGGTCAGGTTTGGTAAAATGCATGAACAAATGGAAAAAAAACATGTCATTATGCTTATCAGCTTTAAAAAACGACATATACTTGTAGTTTCTTCCAGCAAGCTTTCACAATATTTTAATGAGTGTGATTGCTTAGACCCTGTGTACCATGAGAAGTAGTACATGTGTTTTGTTGATAAGACGAATTGTCATTTCGCTGATATGATTTGCGGGCCAGTTACGAGGTCTTAGGTCAAGCTGATCATATTTTTGTTCCAAATATAGTTTTGGCAGCCTTTGTACTTTAGGTGTCTGCTTCAATGTGTTCTCGTCCTAATCTTTGTGGGATAGTTTTGGAATGTATCTTTGTTTCACAAAAAAAAGATGACAGTAGTAATACGGGTGAAAATGGATCCATAGATGTGATAGAACAGTTGGAGCTACAAGAAGTAGCTACGTACAACTGTCGAGAAGTGGACCTTGTGCGTCAAATGACGGTAAAGTGAGATGGTCAAATAACCTTCGACCTTGGATTATTGGATTTTCGATGTTATTTTATTTTTTCATTTGGTCAAAAACTCTGAAGGTTTACAAACATAGTCTAGAAAATAGGGTGGGAAAAGATTGTTGAGGCACATTTTTAAGGTAGTAAAAAGAGAAAAAATCTTTCCATGTTTCTTTAAACTTGGATGAATCATTATACTTCAGCACAACAAAGGCATTCCATTCATCTTTATAAGTATTTATAAATTTAACAATTCAAACTGAAACAAGATTTCTATTGGGTGGTTGAATAACACTGGAACATTTTTAAATGAAATTGCACTCTGCATGTTGATTGACTCA